CCCCCCCCCAGGTCCCCTTCCCTCAGCCATTTTTGAAGATTGGAAGGCCCTGAGGGTAAGGAGGACAGGTCTATCAGTAACAAAAAAAACCATCAGTGCATCCTAAAGGAGGCCTCATCCTTCCTTAAAATTAAATACAATTTAAAAGGCCATTTCAGGGGTTTATTGCAGTAACAACCAGCTTCTCTACAGGGTAGAAAATCCAGCGGTCTGGAAGGCGAGCCGGCGCGCCAGGCTGCAATTTCTCCAAGTCGGCACCAGGTGTCGCTGTGGGCTCGTTGTCCCGGCTACCCCCAATTCCAAGAACCATTTTTTCCTCCCCCTTCTCTCTCTTTCTCTCATTCCCTCTCCCCCTTGGTTAGGCTTTGCCAACATATCAAGATGCGTTTCGCCGGCTTCCATCACTAACCTCCTGGAGGTCATCAAGCCAAATTTATGAGTGGCCGCTGGAGTCACGTGACTCTATTTAAGGCTCCCTTATTTGGGAAGAGCGCATAGGATAAAGAAAGAGATATCTCCACCTATAAATTGTGCACTTTGGAGAACAAAAAACCCCTCAACTTCAAAGAGTCACAAATCACCCTTAATCAAAAAGGGTGCAGAAATTTTTTTTGGGCCCTCCCCGCCATGAGCTCCTACGTAGCCAATTCATTCTATAAGCAGAGCCCCAATATCCCTGCCTATAACATGCAAACTTGTGGGAACTATGGATCGGCCTCAGAGGTGCAGGCATCCAGGTACTGCTACGGCGGATTGGACTTAAGCATCACTTTCCCACCGCCTGCGCCTTCCAACTCTCTCCACGGGGTAGACATGGCTGCCAACCCCCGGGCTCACCCCGACCGCCCCGCCTGCAGCGCCGCGGCCGCTCCGGGACACGCTCTGGGCAGAGACGAAGCGGCTCCTCTGAACCCCGGGATGTACAGTCAGAAGGCGGCTCGCCCGGCGCTGGAAGAGCGAGCTAAGAGCAGTGGGGAGATCAAAGAGGAGCAGGCGCAGACAGGGCAGCCTGCCGGACTGAGCCAGCCACCGGCCCCGCCACAGATTTACCCGTGGATGACCAAACTGCACATGAGCCACGGTAAACTTTAGGACTTCATTTTGCGCGCTCGGGTCCGCCTGGGTTTTATAGGCCATGCGGGGCAAATAAAGAAAAAAAACCTGCGGCCATAAATTTTACGATCCAGGCATCAATGGCTCGTAAAACTGTCCACTAAAAGGCTTAGAGGCTGTGTGCGCCCAAATTTACGACGACATAATTGGATCATAGGAACAAAACGTGTATAAAAGGCAATATTCAATTTTTGGGGGAGAGGGAGGGAGTTAAAAAAATAGAGGGATCTGAAGGGTGAGGAGCGCGGGGCTCCAGAGCGGGGATCCCCCCGCGGCTCCCTCCCTCCCCTGTGGAGCCGGCTCGGCCTGCGCTCGCCGCTCCGGAGGACTCCAGCGACTTGGGAGGGGCGGGAGGGGGGTCCCCGGTGCTCGGATCTCGAGGGTGCTTATTGTTCGGTCCGAGCCTGGGTCTCCCTCTCCCCCCACCCCTCAGCCCCTCCGGCTGCTGAGTGAAGGCTGCGGCGGAAAGTTTCCTGCCTGGGCGGAGGCGCCTCTCCCGGGGCTGGCGGGGCCGGGCCCGCCTGCGGCCCGCCGGGCCTGTCTAGCCTCGCTCGCCTCACGTCCCTCCGGCCGCGGGTAGGGGCCTGGGGCTCGGGTGGGGACGCTGAGGCGCTGCACGCTATTCACCCCTTCCTGGCTTGGGGGGGCTTATATTCCAGAGACAGACGGCAAGCGGTCCCGAACCAGTTACACGCGCTACCAGACTCTGGAACTGGAAAAAGAATTCCACTTTAACCGCTACCTCACTCGCCGCAGGCGTATAGAGATCGCCAACAACTTGTGTCTCAACGAGAGACAGATCAAGATCTGGTTCCAGAACCGCAGGATGAAGTGGAAGAAAGATTCCAAAATGAAAAGCAAAGAGGCTCTTTAGAGGCAGCGGGGAGGCCCGCCAAAAGCACCCCGAGCTCGTTTCACTCCCCTCGCCTTTCCTTTTCGGTTTTCCTCTCTGTATGTTGGGGCAAGGGCGGTGGCGAACACCCGCTCCCCGGCCTCAGAGACAAAAGCGCTTTCCCTTGGCATTCCGCACCCCCACCGACCCCGGGTTCCCCCGGGGCTGCCCGCGCTGTCTTGACTCCCCTCAGTTCTGCTCAGCTCTTGGGCCCCAGGGCAAGCTCCGCAAGGTCCCAGGGCTGTGGTCTGTGGGCTGGCGCTGACCGGGCTGGCGCTCACCATGCCCGCCTGGGTCGCCTCTCAGGCGTCCAGCCCCAGCTTGACCTGCCCGAGTCAGGTGGGCCCTGAGGTTGCTGCAGGCCGGGAGCCCCGACCCTCCAGCCTCGCCCTCTCCTTTGTTCCTGGTTTAGGCTGGCCGGGCGGCTGCGGGCTGGCGAGAGAGTGGTTTTGCCACCGGGAGTCCGGCGCCAGACTCGGGGTGCTTCGTTATAGCGACTAAACTCAAATTGTTCATTTTTAAATGATTTGCATAATAAAAGGGGGAGATGACTGAAGTCCGCCTAGGGCCCCTTTGGTTGTCCTAAGCTCTCCAAACCTTTTCCCCAGCCCCAAAGCCCGGGAACCTCTCCAGCCTGCTCCCTCTGCATGCCCTCTCAGGCCCCAGCCTCAGACCACTAGCTAGCTCAGCTATTGAGGTTCCCTGCCACCGGACCCCAGCAAGCAGTCCTAGAGGTTCCTGACTGCCAGTAGTCCCTGCCACGACTTTTTGTGCCCTCCTGCCCCATTGCTGTTGTACAACTATTTATTGACTCCAGGTCTTTCCTGAAACTATATTTTGTCATATCAAATAAAGACAAAGAGAGAACAGGACTAAAAATGCAGTGGCTCCTCTCTGTTTGGGGCATGTATTGGGCAAAAGTGTTCAAATAGGCTGTGAGGTGTAGGGGGAGGCCCACAGCCTTTAAGCCTCTCCTTTAAAGGAATTTTTAGAAGCTTCTTGGGGTATTGAGACAAGGGAGGTGAAACTGAGCTCCTGTCCTGATCCCTGGCTCCAAGAAGGGCCTCCGTGGGAAGGGGAGGACACCCAGTGCCTGTACTGGCCTGTTCCATGCTGTGACGGTCCAAGGCATTCAGGCCTCTGCACCCCATTCCCACCTTGGCTGGGTGGATCTGGGGCCTCTAGACTGACAGCGGCCCTCTCTGCATGCCAGAACAAATCTGCAGGGACTGGTGGCTCTGCAGTACTCAGACTCAGGCCCTTCTGGAGATCTCTCCCAGGGCTAAGTGGTCCCTGAGGGACCTTGATGGACATAGAGGGCTGAGCCCTCAGCCTAGGGTCTCATTTGGTTTCAGAAGGATCTCAGAAAGAGTTGGTGTTGCTTGGTAAAGGGGTGCTGGGGAAGTTGGAGGAGGTGTGCCTCAGCTTTCTGATACTGGCAGAGGGTGAGTAGGGAGGGCAATCTGCAGGGTGTATCTGCCTGGCAGGAATCATCAGACTGTCTCCCCACTTTCTAAGGCCTAGGGCTATGCAGAACAATTAACTGGGAAAGGAGCTGCATAGACCAGTGCCTGAGTTGCTTCTGTTTGCCATCATTTATCTCAGTCTCTGGGATTTTTGTGTAGGGGGAGGGTGGGCGAAAGGGAAGGGGAAAAGGCAGATAATTCAGGTGGTGCCTGAGGCTGGCTTAGGCCCATGCTCTGCTCTGATTCAGGCTCTTGGGATGAGATGGGGGAGGAAGTACTTTATAGGAGAAACAAATGTGGGAAGGGTCCATAAAACTTTACTGCATTTCCTCTCCCACCTCCCACAATGGGGTAATTTCCTGGAGCCAAGCCTAGGCCCCCCACACTGGGGTGGGGGGAAAGGTTCAAGAGCTGGGCTAGATGGCTTCTCCAGCAGCCAAGAGGGAAAGGGAGCATAGAGGCTCTGGGGAGGGGTAAGGGGAATATTTATGATTATTAATGCTGATGCTCCTTGGATTTATTATAAGGACTGACTTCTCTGCATCCTATTGCCTAAGCCACCTGCCATTTTTTAAAAGACCCAAGAGCCTTTCCTCACCCCATGTTAGCACGTAGGAGGCCTCACCAAATGTTTATAGAGCTGCACCCATTGCTACACCCTGCTTCACACTGCACTCACTCAAACCAGATTAGGGCTCCCGAAATGTCTCTCCTCCACTAGCACACAGCACACAGCCCAGCACCGACTCACCTCCTCTCTCTCCCTCCCTATCTCTCTCTCTTTCTCTCTCTCTCTCTCAAATAAAATGTGTAATTTTCATCAGGGAGTTATTTTAATTTTTTCTCCATGCTGAGTAAAACTATTGGGCAAGCGGTGAAGCGTGGAGAAGCACTGGCGTCTCCAATGGGTAACAGTTAACTAAGAAAGAGGCCCTGGTGTCCGCCATCACCTGCCCCAGCCTCCCTGGCTGCCAAGGCCCTGAGCTTCCTCCCCAGGGGATACGCCACCCCAGGAAGAGAACCAAGGGCTTTGCCAGGGGTGTGGGCAATGCTCCTCAGACCCCATGGGCAAGGTGCACCAGCCCCACCCTGCACTGACTGCCTTCTTCCCGAAGGGTTTGGGCCAGACTTTCGCTGGAAGAACTGGAGGACTGACTTGAGTTGGGCAGGTTTGGGTAGATGGAGCCATGCCTGCCCATTTCCCCCCACTCCTGTCACAGTCTGCACGTCTGCACCCAGGTCCCAGATTCTGTTTCAGCAGCATCAGCGGCCACAACCCTGCACCGGGAGTGGGTACAGCCCAGACCCTTGCTTTCTTCCTGAGCAGAGGCTTCTATTTTGGAGTCTGAGGTGCTTCCCCCACCAGCCAGCCTCCTGGAGCAATCTGCACGTACCAGGGTTTAGCATTACTCTGGGCGAGTTAGTGGAGGAGCTTCTGGGTCCCAAACAGAGACCATGAAGCCTGCCTCTTCACTTTGCCCTGAAACCCACCCCCTCTGTCATTGAGAAAGAAGGGGAAGAAGCGTGACTTACCTTCCTGGGGGAGTGGGAAGAGAGGGACACGGCCCACTCTGAGCAATTAGAGGAGAGAGGAGGAAAAAAAATAGGAGGAAAAAATATCAACACGACCTCGGAGGCGACAGGTCCTTATGGAAATAAGTAAGTAAATAAATAAGGATCCACCCTCTCCCCCCTCCCCACCCTGCAAGGGGGGTATGGGGGTGGGGCAAAGGAGCAGCACGAGGGCTTTTTAGTGTAACTGAGCATTAGAGAAATACGCACGGCTTCTATGTGAATTTAGGAGTTTGAAACTTTTGGAGGTTATTTATGTGAATGGCCCGAAGGCAAGCCCGTGAGTGGCTCTTGGGGGACCACGTGATGTCATTAAACCAAGTTTTATGGTGTAGGGAGAGCTGACAAACCCACAATATATTTACATCATATATAATCTTAACTGTCCAGCCACGCAGCTGCTGGTGAGGTTTAATGCTAGGACAGAGGGCCTGGCAGTTAGAGGGGATTACGGCGCTGGGGATGATGGTGAGAGAGGTTACATCTTCGCAAATGAATCCCAGGCGAATGCTGTAAGTTAATTTTCTCTCTCTCTGACCCTTTCTCCCGTTTACCTAATCTTCCCCCTTCATGAGAGAAGGCAGTTCCTACTCATTAAGGGGAGGGGAAGAAGGCATCCCCAGGCGCCGCCGTCAGGCTGCCGTAGAAGAGAAGAAGCCGCTGGGAGGTAGGAGGATGGGGGAGCTTGTCTCTCCAGACCAGCCCTCTCCTCTCTGCCCCTTATTCCCTCCAGCTGTGAGTCAACTGGGGTAAAGCGAGGCCTGGGTTCTTTAGAGCTTTGCCAGGTCTCCCTGACCCCCTCTCCCTCCTCAGTTGCCAAGAAAGCAGAAAGCAGCAGACGTATGGGTGTTTGGTGTTTGCAGGAGTGTGTAAACTCTAGGCTCAAGCGCAAAATGCCTCTGGGGCCTCCTGGTCCAGGGAAGGGCCAATTTGGCCCTTGGCCAGTGACCCAGAGTCCAGGCAGGGTGGGTAGCTGGGGAAGGAGGCCGGGGAAGAAGGGCTTTGGGACTTCTGAACCCACAGGCTTTGAGCTGAAGTGGCAGAAGCATCTTAAAGGTGGCCAGTTGAACCCCAGGAGTCCCAAAGCATCCTCTCCTTCCCCACTGGGCCTGGGTGGATATCTGTCTCAGCCTCAGTGGTCCAAGGTTCTCGTCTGTCTGGGGCCAGTGTGGTTTCGTGCCTCCTCCTCCCTCTAGCTGTTGGGGTCTTTCCTGGAATCCCTAGCCCTTGCCTAAGGTAAAACTAGGCCTGGGAGGCCTAGAGGCTACTGCTGTGAGTGGAGTGTAAGTGGGTGGGGGAATGGAGGCAACTGTCTTTATTAGAGGAGCCAGGAAAGCCCTCCAGCTCTGAGGAGGGAGTGGATTCTGGGGGATAGAATCATCAGCGCCCAACATGGGCATGGCACCCTGGGGCCAATCTCAGGCGGGGGTCCCTTCAGGTTTCTAGGAAGCAGCAGCAGGCACATGTCCTCCACATCTGTGAGTGCAGTACCCCTCCGAGCGTCACCCAGAGCTAAGCCAGGAAAACAACAACATATGAACTCAGGGTCCTTGAAGGGACCCACGGGAATACGAAGGATTCCAAAGCAGGGTGGAAGGCAGTCCCATGGAAGGCAACTCGGGAAAGAGGAAGGGAGGGGAGGAGGCGAGCCAGGTCTGCGCCTTCCTAGAGTAGTGGGGGTCCCGCCTTAGAGCGGGAGGGGGTCTAGGCACCCACTTTGTGGAGAGGTGCATTTGGGGAATGGTACTGTTATCATGCCCCTGCCGCCCAAGAGACTGAGGAAGAAGCAGGGATCAAGCACAGATGGAGAGCCCAGGAAGACTTTGGGAGGCTGAAGGGGGACAGAGACCCAAAGACACCGTGTCTGGGCTGGAGCCCCAGCCCTCGACCTAGTAGTCTGTTGTCTGCGTGAGGACCTTGAGCGCCTGACTCCGATGCCTTCCTTCGCGGCCTGGTTCCTTGCAAAG